GGTAGAGGCAGAGAGATGGACTGTCAAGTTTAGGAGCAGCTAGAAGTCTAGTTTGACTAAAATGGAGAATATATGAAAAGGAGTAAGATAAAACAAGATTGTAAAGGCAGGTTTTAGCTGAATTGTGTAGGTGCTAGCTTTAAATGCTAGGTTAAGAAATTTATATTTTGTCCTACAGTTAACAGGGAGCCATTGAAGGTTTGTTGAGCAGAGGAGTGGTATACTTCATGTACCACAAGATTTTTCTCTACACATCTAAATAAAAAATGAGAAGAAATATTTATCTAGAAATAGTGCATTAATTCTGAAATTTGGGGTATCATCTAGGATCTCATATTTTTAATTATAATTTTTAGGTTGTCTTTGTAGATGATGTAAACATGCCAGCTCGGGAAGTATATGGTGCTCAGCCACCAGTTGAATTACTTCGCCAGTGGTTAGATCACTGGAACTGGTATGATCTTAAAGACTGCTCCATGATTAAACTAGTGGACATTCAAATCATGTGTGCCATGGGACCTGCAGGTAAGTTTTCTCTAAATTTGCAATTAAAAAACAAACAAACATAGTATCCTGCAGACAGTATGATTTCCCTAACCTACCCCTCCTCCCACATTGAACAATTTTACTGATTCATTTGTACATTGGTCATATATGAGCTTTCCTCCCCGCCTCCATATATGTCTTTATGTGCGTGTTTAATGTTTAATTTTTTAATTATCGCTTAACAAACATCAACCAGCATTAACATTTCAGTATCCAGAGAACAACATAAAGGGGTTATATATGAAACTGTGAATTTCTATTATGTAGTTTTAAAAATCTCCATTAAATTTTAACACAGTAATACCAAAATTGCCCTGCTTATCTGCATCCTCTTTTGAACTTCCAGAATTCTGCTCTTTTCTGTACATTTTTTAATGTTTTACTAGTGCTCCTTTTTTCTTTTTCATTTGTTACTACCTACAGTTCCCTACAGTCATTCCCTTTGATTAATGTTTTAATTTACCTAGTATCATGCTTTATGTTTATGTGATGTGCTAGACATTATCAATCCATAGATGATTTTCAATGGCACTGTTGCCATCACTGAGGCCTAGGCAGAATTGCAAAGTTGACCAAGATTGTTTTTGGTAGCCTTTCTTTATCTTCTTCCTACCATCTGATATTCATTTTTTCATCCTTCTCAGGCACCCAGCACACTCATGCTGCCTCCAAAGTCTGTCCAAAGCTCATTGTTGTGGCTTCCCTAAAACCTGCTCTTGCTTGGAGCACTCCATTCTTCACAATTACACTTCTGTTTCCTTCCTTCCCAATTAGAAAAAAAATCACATTCCACAAAGCTCAGTTCACCATTTTTTTAAGCTCAGTTAAGTTTTAGCTAATCTGTTTCAAGTAATTCAGAGTAAGTGATCAACAGCATGAATGACTGACAAGCTTAGGCCGCACTCACCATAGGTGTATTTGCAAACAGAAGCTTGTTGACCCAAATATGTATCGAATTGGTAGAATATATGTCTTAGATATTTTTGACTAGAGACATGCTCGCAGTTCTGTGGACTCCCTCTAAGCTTCCATTCCCCCTCTTTTTATGCTATCCCATGTCCCTCTGGGATAAGATAATCATGTCATGCTGGAGCCACAGGGTTCTACCACCTCTAAAGCCATATTTTCTGAAGAAAGAACTTAGTTCCTGTCTGGTCTCTGTAAGGAGAGAAAGAGGACAAAGCTGAGCCTAGAACACTTCCTCCACACAGCTAGGCACCAAGCTGTGTTTCTATAGGGTACCCATGCACATGACTTCCAAAAGTAGGTATGGTACAGTGAAAAGAGAACTGAATTTGGAGTTAGAGGACCTGGAGTAAATTTGACTTTGCCGTTTACTGTGGCAACTTGGACAAGTGGCATAGAATCTCTAATCTATAAAATGGGGCAGGAGTTGTGGGGAAAGCATGAGCAAGGTCTCTTTAGGCTCTCAAGCTGTGGACCTTATATTAATTAAATCCATAGAATTAATTCCTTCAGTTAAGATGATTTTGTTTTGTCATGTTTTTCAGGAATATAAGCGCCATGTTACTCAAGGTTCAACTGTACTAATAAGTATACTAATAAGTATAAGTATGCCATTCTTTACACAAACCTGATAGTTGTAAATCTGCATTTACACAAATGAGATGTTAGGAACTGATTTCACATTTTAAAAATCCTTTTCAAAAAGATTTGCCAAAAGATTGACAAATTTCCCTAGTGTGTACAAAATAGGATGTAATTTTCAAATATTTTCTGAAACAAATGTGTATCAATTATATACAATAAGGTATAAGGTATTTATTGTAAGTATCTGAAGTAGATATTAAGGCCTCACATTTTGATAGTTTATTTTTTTTATAGCATTTGATGAGTAAAATTATGTAATCGTACAAACTACTTGATCAAATCTCAAGGAAATTCACTTTGTGGGGAGTTTGGGGAATGAGAGTATATGCTGAATTTCTGGCTATATAAATATAGACAAACTGGATTTTGTTCTTATTCACTGGCAGGTTTAAGGGATAATCTGATGATTCTGGTCTCTAATTAGCCATGTAAATGTACTATGAAAAACAAAACAATTGAATTTGTCTGTTAGATCTGATTTCCCCTGGAGATTTTAACCTAACCTAAGACAAAGTCCACATAACTTCACGTGCCAGTTATTCTGATAAAGTGAAAACAACCCCATAGTCCAAAGTTATCCAGACTCTGTCAACTCTGCTAAAATTGATTAGATGGCTATTTACCCTTTACTTCAGTCTATGCTGTGTAAATTTTACCATCTGGCAAGTTTCTTCTTCATGTAAAATCTTAAAAATAAAATGAGAACTTAGAAGCTTTCATTTTTTTACTAACATTAGGCTTTCTGATATTTAGGTGGTGGGAGAAACCCAGTCACGCCTCGATTCAAGCGGCATTTTAATGTAATCACCATTAACGAATTTAATGATACTGCCATGTATACAATTTTCTCTAGAATCTTAAACTGGCATTTCAACATTTGGTAAGTAGATTTCTTCCCATGGAGAATTGTAAAATCCATGGGTAGCCCATGAAACTAGTTTCCTGGAGTTCTAAAATAAGTGGCACAGAATTCATCACCAAAGACACCTTAACCATAAATATATGTTAGGCTGGGCTACCCTAGTGGTCCATAATACTATGGCCATCTCTTAGATTAACTCAGAGATAATGGTGAAGAAGGAAGCTGTATTGGCTCCTGTGGGATTCCACAAGAACAAAGAGTCAGTCCTTAAAAACTAATCTTCCACCTACACATTTCAGATTTCTGGCTCTCTCTCTCTCTCTCTCAATCTCTCTCTCTCTCTCTCTCAATCTCTCTCTCTCTCTCTCTCTCTCTTTCTCTCTTCTCCACCCACCCCTCCCCCTCTCTCTC